AATTTTGTCGCGCCATTGCTGAAATTATTCTGAATGTTTATTGTTTATACAATTCTTATAAAAAGTTAACTTTCACAAACAAATTGTTTATTTCTTCGTTGAAAGTAATGAAAACGCCTCTGACACATGCTGAACGCAAGAGAAAGAATAGAGAAAGACAAATGCAAATATTTGGTCAGGATTTTATCGAGGAAAAGGACTTGATACTGAAATAGTAAAAACAAAATTCTAATGTTGAATAAGCATGTTTAAAGGACAAGTTAAGAAAAAAAAAGAGTAGAGCTTTTTCATCTAAATTAACATCTAACGTCTCTCCTGCTTACAAATCATCTTGAACACTTGGTAAAGCTGTTAAAAAAGCAGTATGTGCTCTTCCAACTTCTCTTTAAACTTTACAACTTCCTAAAAAAGCTGTTGTTAAACAACTTGCAATTCAGTTTAACAAAGATTTACCAGATATGCAACCAACACATGGACCTAATGCTCATAATGATGAAACAAAGCTATGCGTCATTAGTTTTTTTGAACAAGATGGTATATCTCGCCAGGCACCTGGGGTAAGAGATACGATTGTTTTAAGAAGTAATAAAGAAAAAAAGAAAATGCAAAAAAGGTATTTAACAATGAATATAAGTGAAGCATATCAAATAATTAAAAACAAACACACTGATTTTTCAATCAGTAAATCCAAGTTTTCTAGTTTGAGACCAAGCCATATACTTTTATCAAGCTTAATGCCTAGAAATGTTTGTTCATGTCAAAAACATGAAAACTTTTCACTCAAAGCATCACATTTTATCGATTTAAAAATTCCCCTTTATTCTCATGCTTTACCAAATATTTTGGTGTGTGACGAGAAAAATGATAATTGTTAAAATAACCTTTGTGAATAAAGCTTGGAAGGACGGAAAGTTATTTCTCAAAACATACCAATTAGATGAAAAAAACCACGATAAAAAAATTAGCTGGTACCTTTGAGAGAAAGTTACGCAACTTAATGGAACTAAGTTCCTCGAAAAAGGAAAAAAAAAAAGACAAAGCCATAATTTTGAATAACAATGTTTGTAAAATGCTAGCCAAATTTCTTTTGCATTATTTTATAAAAGGAAAACAATCAATGAATTATGAAAAACTAAAAAAAAGTTTTAAAAAGAAATCTTGAATTACAAGTTGGCTTGAAAAAAGAAAACTTCTCAACTTTCTGGCTGGATGAAGTTTAGTCAACACAATGGAACAAAAAATCTTCCAAAAGGTAAAAACAATGTGTTGAAACTAATTCATGAATATTGTGCTGCGGCAAAAAATGAATTTATTGTTAAGATAAAATCACACAAAGAAAAGGGTGGAAAATTTAGTCTAACGTTTGATAAATGGACAAGTCTTGGCAATCGAAGATATTTGAATATCAATATTCATTTCAATAAGTTATTTATTAATCTAGGGCTGGTTAAAATTCATGGAAGCTATACAGCTGAAGTAACAATTGACCTAGTTAATAAGAAACTATCAGAGTTTGTAATTATCTCTTCAGATGTTATTGCATCAACCATTAATGCTGGTGCAGTAATGATCAAATTTGATAGATTATCTGGTTTTATATACCAACTATTTTATAACCTCGGCACTTTTATAAATGACATTCATTTGGCTGCAATGGATGTCATTTATAAAAGAAATTAAAATTCTTATGTTCGCCACATTGATTCTTTAGAAAATGAATCTGATTTTCCAGGAATAACTCTAGCGAATCTGAAAATAATAATCTAAATGATTTTGAACCGCAAATATGTGAAAAAGAAGATATAAATGCGGCTTTACAAATGATTAGAAAAAAAGTTAATTTTTTTTAAACATTCGCCTAAAAGATTACATTGTACAAGACTACAAGAAATTTGCCTAAAAGATTCCATTTTATAAGACAATGTAAAAGTAGAGCGCGGAATTCAACTCAATTTACTGTTAGATTGCCGGACCAGATGGAACAGCCTTGTGACAATGGTGGAAAAATTTTTAAAAGTGATGGACGTAGTAAAAAAAGCATTAAATGAATTGAACTCCCTAGAGCTATTTAACAATATTTATGTCTCCGTTTTAAAAAATGTTTCCAACGCCTTTCAACAAATCAAAATTGCTGCAGAATCATTAGGTAAACGTGATGCAAACTTGCTAACAGCTGATGCTATTTTAAATTTTTTGTTTGATTCCCTGCGTAACAACAATGATACAATTTCAGAGGAGATGTTGCTAACTCTGTCACTTCGCGTTAAAAAGCGAAGAAATCAAGAAATCAATCTTTTATAGATAATACATTTTACATTATATCGACTTTGATTAAATACCTAAAACACGCAATTCACATTCAACTACTCCTAGCTACCTTCATCTTCAAAGTCTGCAATTATTCGTTATGCAAATGACTTATTTAATAGAATATTCAGTGAAGATGTTGATATTAGAATTGAAAGTGAATCCTCTAAAGAAAATATTTGCTTAACAGCTA